AAGGATACTTGTTGAAACGGGCTTTCTTCATTATGAGGATATTGGTAGATATCATATTATTTCAATAAACCATAAACCTTCCTAAGAACTCTATTTATGGTGACATTGGTAAATGATGTAGAACCCAATGTGTTTGCGCATGATGCAGATAGCAGATGGCTGCACGTCACCTGACTGCTGAAGAGATGCTTGTGAGATAGCCCTGGAGGTAGTTTACTCTTCCAACGTCATTGATCAAGTCCTCCATACTATTGTCACTAAACTGCGAGTAGCCTGAAATAAAGCATAAAAAACACATGATCGTTAAGAACATACTGACTTCTCAACCTTCCTGTGAGTTTACTGACTGCATTGTTAATTCTGGATGCCCTAGCTACTCACCATTTTCGGTAACATAGACAGGCGTGTTCTTGTATCTCTGATTGACATACTTGACGATTAGCTCCATACCTTCCGGAACATCATAGTAACCATGAATTGCAGTCTGCCAGGTTGATCACCATATATACAAACATGTCACAGAGAGATGAAGAGTGTATAAGATATTAATAGGTGGAAGCAGTTCTTACTGGTTTTCCAATTGTCACGCCGTCTCTTTCACCTACAGCTTGCACCAGCGCATTTCCCTCATAAGTCTCAAGGTCGCATGGAGAAGAGATGCAATCCTTGGCGTAAATCGATGTGTAATGATTTAGCCCGATAAAATCTGCGTTGTTCTTCCGTAGCAGCCTCTTCTCTTCTGAGGTAAACTTTGGTAAGTTTGATGATAACATCTCACACATTTCTCTGGGATAGTCACCAAAGAATATCGGATCCAGAAACCTAAAAAATAAAAAGAAATGTTACAAAAATCATAGCACTAATTGTTCGAATTTATGGGCCCTTTGGCCTCTGGCTCAAAGTGGATTGAGCCCAAACATAATTCAGAAATTCGTAGATGTCAAAGGAGTGTGGAAGGTATGTGGATTTTTGTCTCATACGACCTAGGGAGAAAGATTGAACCAACATATAAGGGCATCTCACATGGTCCTTTTGGATAAGAGGTCAAGAAAGAACTATGCTAAGTGTATGGATTTGTAGTTTTTTTTTGTCAGTTCGGTCTTTACCTTATCCACCCACAATGGTCTAACACACGTACTGCGGTTAATTATGCATGTAATCGTGTGGTTAGTGGGTCGTGGGTAGTGAAGATGTGTCAGTGGTGGTTTCTGGCATCTATATTGACGTTCGTTTTGCCTAGGAGTTATCGGTACGACCCTATAAGAGCGAGACGCCTCTCTCTCTCTCTCTCTCTCTCTCTAGTCATCACTCCAAACACCATCCTTCAGTTCTCTGATGCGCTCACCACCATCGATCCTCTTCTTGTCGTGTGGTGGGGCAACCGTACACCAGTAGTCTCCGGACGAACCACGGAGACTAGCAATCTACACAGGTAGCCAGGTGCTAATATTTCTTAGCAGTGCTAGGAGGACTGTTTTACCCTTCTTCCTTGACTTCATCTACGTCCACTACTTTATCTTCATCCACGACTTACTCGACTCCCCATTGTCATTTTCGTGAGAAACCCCGCTGTAAGGAAATTCACCACGCGAATATTTTGTTAGTCGATCAGATTGCGATGTTCTCATCTATGCAACCAGGGTTTACTTCATTGTAGATGTCATGCTAGTTTTCATCCATCTGTATGCCGAATTATTTCTGGTAGGTCCATCTATGTCATTCATATTTATGAGTAGATTATAAAAATTATACTAACGATAGCCATCACATTGTTTCCAACACCAACATGGGTAAAGTTGGTATGAACACTTTCATATTTCTTGGAGCATAACAGTGTTACTGAAAGAAAAAAAGGGACTTACCAATCCACCTCGAAGGACAACGCCCGTCTTGCTGCCAAGATATCCTCGGTGGAGTTGGTCAGCGGCTCATACCATTTCATCGCGATCACAATCCCGATCGATCCGCCTTGCGTTGCCTAGCATGTACACACGCATCAAAAACGGCTAAGGCAAAGGCGCCTCTGGTTTTGAGATCCACTGAAATGGCTACCCAGTACGACAGAGCAACATTTCTGTTGGTTTCACCTGGTAATTCTTCTTGTAGTTCTCGACGGCGGCAGCATGCGACAGCAGCATGTTGTGAGCCGCGACGTAGGGCTCCCGGCGAGAGTTCCCACTGTTGCAGGTCCCGAACGGCGGTGAGCAGTGCGCGGGAGGGTAGTTGCCCAGCATGTAGGCGAACTTGGCGAACAGGTTGGGCTCGTTGAAGGTGGTCCAGAACCTGACCCGGTCGCCGAACGCCTTGAAGCACACGTCCGCGTAGTAGCCGAACTCCTCCCTGGCAGGAACGTTAGTTAGTTTGAGGCAACCAGAAGCATGGCATGTGCACCTGACCTACCTGATTCCAGCGCCCAGCCAACTGCCGTACCGGGTCTCCAGTTCTTGCGGCATGTCAAAGTGATGCAGTGTCACGAACGGCTCTATCCCTGCTTGACATTTTCGGCAGTTAGTGACACGCGTACGTACGTTATAGGTTTGCTCCTCGTTGAAGATTACTACTCCATGTGGCAATTTTGTACCAAGGGAAACCAGCGCCGCACTTGTGCAAAGTATACACCCTTCGTTTCATAATGTTGTGCATATAGATTTTTTTTGAAAAATCAAACCTCACAAACTTTGATACAGTTTTTGGAGAAAAATATTTACAGCTAGAATGCCAAGCATGTATCATTAGATTTATTATAAGGAGTAGTTTCATATTTTATATGTTTAGTATTCTAGATATAAATAGTTCTTTCTATAAATTTGATAAAAACTTGTAAAGTTTGACTTTTCAAAAAATGTATATGCAGTGCATTAATGAAACCGAGGCAGTAGTCGAAACTGGTACCATTTCAGAGATGTAGCGTGTGAGACACGGAGAGACTATACCTTTCTGAAGGAGTGCCGTGATCAGGCGGTCATAGAAGGCTATTCCGGCTGAATTAACGCCTCCAAGCTGACCTCCTACGATGATATAATTCAACGACAATTAATTAGCTAAGCAACTAACCGTGACCACTAAACCGCAAAAACCTTATTAGTGCTAATCGTGTATTCTTCTTGGCGTTCATACTTGGTAGGATTCTCGCCCATGAGATTGAGAACCTGTAGGAGTCGACCCCCAAACTATGTATAATCTCCACGTCCTCCTGCTCAAGACAGTGTCAGAATTACGTGAGCAAGCAGCAAGACGCATCATGCATCAGACGGCAGTTACTAGTGATTTGCTGCTTTGCTATCTGGAGTATATTTAAATAGGTAGAACCCACTACCAATATTTTTAGCCATGTAAATCATGCCAATAAAGTCATGCATGCAAGTCATAAATTATATTTTTTGGATTACTCTATGCATACAACGGCGGTCACATCATACATCATGTTAATTATTCACAAGTGTTTTTTTGCATTAGATTTTGAATTGACAATATATGTGTTGTGCGATTGCAATACATCTATATAGTTCACCTTCACATTTTTGTTAACAATGACACTTTTAACTTCAATTTTTTTAAACGCTTCAAATTAGAAATAAACAAATTACATATTATTTCTATTAGTTTTACATGTTTTTGTAGCAACCATTTATACATTTATTTTAGCACGATTCTCGCAGAAATGCACGGGGCATCATCTAGTATATAGCTAAGAGTCATCCCCATTAATTTATTTATCTCAGTATGAAAGCATGTCACCTCACCTTACAACTATAAATGGGATAAGACTCACATCAACATGCAAGCATGCATGAGAAGAAAAAAACCATCACAACATTCAACAACGCATGAGAAAATGTTTTTCATTTATCTATTCTACCTATATACTAAGATATAATAATTGTATTTTAAATTTTGGTTCTCATGTTATCAACCTAAAATTTCATCAACCAATTCCCACAGCAGTACGTTGGGTATCATCTGGTTTACCATGTAACGATGGTAGTGATCATCCGCTATGTCCCCATTCCGTCCATCCTTAATTCTTCTAGCTGCAGCAAACAAACAAAAATTCAGAGGCAAACAAGTTTTTAATATGTTTAAAAAAAAATAGAGGATCACATGTGCGTGTGAAATGCTCTTCTTTCAAAAGCCATGCACGAGAATTGCCCTGGTATTAGTTGATTGACATGACAGCCATGTGTGCATTGTATTATGTAGAGGTCGGATATTCGTGTGGCTGTATCACGTTGATATACTGATGAAAATATCCATTATCAAAAAGAAAAAAAGACAGCAATGACCATATGGTATACGGATAAACAGGTGAGTAAGCACACTATAGCCACTCGCATGATTATCCGCAAAATGTTGCTGCAGTTGTGGCATCACTGTCTGATAAGGATACACATCTAGTGAACAATTAATATTCAAAACCCTCTTGCTAGAGATAATAAAAGATACTCCTATGCGACGCCATTTCTTTTAACACTTTAGCTATATGCAAGTTGTCTGATCTTTAAATTTGGATAAGTCAATTTTACGACAGTGAATTCTTTTGTCAAGACTCATGTTATTTTTTTTCCTTGTGTTGTTTCATGTCTTCTTAGCCTAATTTTTTTACTTCCCCTGTTTGGGGTAAGTCAATTTCTTTCCTTAAGCTTGTTTTGGACTTGTCCCTGTTTGAGGTAAATTGACTTTTTCTTATGCTGAACTATACATTGCATACTTTTTAGTTCTACATGTTTTCTCCTTTTGGTTTTCTTTCAAACAAAATAATATATTTTTGTTTTCTCTAAATTGGTATTTGTGGCATGTTGGATGAGTGGAAATGTATATACACAAGTATTCTACAATATGTGTGTAAATTACACCAGAGCATGAAAATCACACCATTATATGCTTATTCCTTGCATATTTAAAAAGTGTAATTTCATTGCAAAATTGTGTGCAACTTTTTTCACATTTTTTCTGAAAGGTTAACACCAATGTCACTACTTCACTTTTTTCCTACAAAACTTCATTATTTTGATTGTTTGTTCTTATGTTATTTTCTTTCTTTTTTAAGAATAATACGAATGACATTAATTCATCCTTTCTTACAAAACTACATTTTTTTGCAAAATTATAGTATTATTTGCTTATTCTTGCATATTATAAAAAAAGAACTTCTATGTAAATTATTTGTAACATTTGTCATTTTTTGTTTTAATTTTTATTTATTTATTTTTCCCTTAAAGGGTAATACTAATGCCACTAATTCAGTTTTTATTTGAAAACTTCATTACTTATATTTTGTCGTTTTAGTTTCCATTTATTTATTTATCTTCTTTAAGGGTAATACCAATGCCACTAATTCGCTCCTTCTTACAATTTTTTTTTCAAAAATTCCACTATTATATGCTTGTATTTGCATATGATAAAAAAACACAATTTTTGCCCAAATTGTGTGCAAATTTTGGCTTTTTCAATACTTGTACTTTCTTTCTTCGTAATACCAATGCCACTATTTCAATTTTTTTCTTAGGAACTTTTTATTTTTATTTTATTTTAGTTTTTACTTCAATTGATTTCTTCTTTAATGGGTTAAATAACAAGTACTCTAATTCATTCCTTCTTAGTAAACTTCTTGTTTGCAAAAATGACACTATTCATATACTTATTCTTGCATATTGTGAAAAAGCGCAAATTTTTGTGCAAAATTTTCTTATTAAAGGTGATACCAATCTCACTAATTCACTCTTCCTTAGAAAAGTTCAATATTTTGATTTACTTTTAGTTTTTATGTCATTTTCTTTGTTTAGAAAACTACACATCTATAATACCTAAATAGTTCATTCTCACTATCCTATTTCTCTTGATATGCAAACTGTCCACCTCATCTCAACATGCAACTATTCCATCCCAGCACTTATGCCACATCATCAGATTTTTGAAACGCACGCATGTGTCAATTCAGCAAAAAGTATATTTCGTTCGTCCACTGACCAAGCCTTTGATCATCAGCCTCATCTCAAGATTAATTGAACTCTAACTTCGCATATATACACATACCTTGTACCGTAAGTTCCATTAGATCGATCAATCAAAGCTTACACGTACAAGATATATCTATGAACTCCAAAACTTGTGTGTAGGTTCCACAATCTACTCAACAAAATATAACACTATGCTTGCTAGCTTGTCTTGTGAACCGAGGAAGTCCGACGCATGCACCATTCAGGCTAGTCGTCACCTGCTATTATTTAAGCCCTCTTGTAAAAGAAAGTGTTTGGCCAAAATTCTAAATTTACTTTTACTTAGAAAACTTTATTTTTTTCTTTATTTTTTATTTTTTTCATTTATATTCATTTTTATCTTTTATCTGATCAGGTATCTCGTCAGTTTATATTATATTCCAGACCAAGCCCAAGTATCTGATAGGATTTTGTTCTATGGTTGCAAAGGACTGAGTGCTCCTCTTCTTTCAATGTTATAAACTCGAGGAAACTGAAACCGAGGAAAAGGCAATGTTTATGTGTTTGCTGCGACACCTGCAATCCGTGACCGTGAAAACGGTCCCGGCATCCAAATCTTTCAAGTCCGACCTAGGGATCTCACTGCTCAAAACTGAATCTTTCAAGGTTAAATTTTTCTGAACTTTAGTATCAAAACATATCTAGCAGATCCCGCAAACCGGTCCGTCCGTCATAATAACGGTCGGTTTACGGATCCACCCTGTATCCCCAAGCCCAAATAGATCTGCCAAATCTGACTTTTTCGGAATTTGTTTCATGGAACCCTGCATCCGCGAACCCAATTCCTCTATAAGTGCGGGATTCCGCCATCCTTTTGCAGTATCCTCTATCCTTGACGGCAGGAAAATTTCGCACCAACCACTGCCCTCGCAGCCGGCGTCACGGCCTCGCGAGCTCGATTCCTGCCAGATCTCACCCCCACCGCCGCACACGAACAGCCGCACACTGGCGGCGCCGCCCGCCGCTTGCCGCCGTACGCGCTCGTCGCTGGCCACCCGTGCAGCAGCAACGCAGTAGCTAGCTTGCTAGCGAGGCGCCAGCAGAAGCTCGGCCATGGGCACAAGAAGGAGCTCGACTGCGTCCGACGCGGGTGCGCGCCAACAACAGCAGTGGGAGGAGCCTCCGGCAATGGCGCCGCAGCAAGAGCTCGGCCGGCGCGAGCACGACTTGTGAATTGAAAACCCCAATTGTAATTTAGATTTTGTTGTTAGGGCCTTTTATATAATTTTGTCGGGAGCACAACTTTTTTTACAGGATTTGTTCTAACGAAACAAAAGTCGTACCATAAAAACGTGAAAAAACGTTTTGAGGTATCCTGTAAACCGAATTTTGCGGAACGAGGTATACGGATCCGCTATAGGTATGTAGATAGATGTAACAGGAAATCGCTTATTGTCTGTATCTGGCTGATAATTTGCCAGCAGTAAAGTAATCCAGCCGCATGATTACCATACGTGATAAATTAATTAGTAGAGGCATTCAGTCCAGCTTTAGCGGGTCTGATTCATCGAAATGCTTGTTACTCCCTCTGTCTCATAATATAAGAGCTTTTTTAACACTGTGTGTAGTGTTAAAAACATTTTTATATTGTGGAACGGACAATATTAAAAACACTTATGTCCCGACGAAGGAAGTACTATATACATACGGCCTTGTGAGCCATAGCTATCTCTGTTTCGCCGAGCAGGAAAACGTCGGCCACATGGATCGGAGAAAGATAATAAAGAAGATAAAGGAATGGTCGCTTACGTGTGTGGGTGAACACATCCCAGTTGCTGAGGCCCTTGCCGTCCTCCAGGTACGCGCCCTCGATCTGGAAGCAGAGATCACAGTGCATGCGTTGGAGTTGGGACCGATCGAGCAGCAAGCAAAGAAAGACGACGCCGAAGCCGGCCAAGCTCCATTAACCTGGTAAGCAGACGTCGCGACGCCGAAGAGGAACACCGGCGGGAAATCGGCGCGGTCGAGCCCTCGGGCGGACGGAGTGAGGATCGCCAGCGCCGCCAGCATGATCATGCCAGTCGCCGCGGCCATTTGCTCAAGGTAGCTTAGCTTTAGCTAGAAAGGCGAGGCCTCTTCGTCTTGAAGGGCTCTGGAGTCTGGTCTATGCGCCTCTAATCAAACTTATTTAAAGGCAAACAGCAGAAGTACATGAGGTCCCCGCGTCGGTTTTGCCAAGCCACTAGTCACCACCTATATCGCCAGGTCAAGCTTGGCTTGAGTAATGATCCACATGGTACACGTGAAAACGACGTATCAAGGGCAATAATAGAAGAACAATAATGATATTTAGCACGTTCGCCAGGAGCAAAATCTTGGCGAACGCCCCAAGAACCACTGGATCTCAATCGGACGGTTGGCAGTTTTGGATGTTTTTTACACATAAATTATACTCCTTCCCGCATTGTATTACTCTTCTCCACTACCTATTGGTCCAAGCAACACATTCCTTCATTCGGCGACTATCCGTTCTCATGTGTCAGATATACTGTGGAGTATAAAATGGGACACCACATATCGAACACAATAAGGTACGCGACTATGGCGCACTCCCGCGATGTCCATGTCATCGCAGGTACAACAAAGAAAAACACAGTAGTGGGTCGCAAAGGGCTACGCAAGCGTACGCGTATTGGACAGAAACGGTAAAGAGAGAGAAAAAGGAGCCAGTCTCGCACTCTTCCCCGGACGACCTCATCTCGTTTCACAGGTCAACGCAGCCGCCGCCTCCTCTCCTCCTCTCTCTCACCATCGCTAGTTGCAAGGAGCCACCGAGAGGGGATCAGAGAGGCCGCGGCCGGGTGGTGGGAGGAGATCAGAGAGGCCACGACCGCAGTAGAAGCAGAATCCTTGACCAGATCCAACGCTTTGTGCTGCCGCATCATTTTCTCTTGTCTATGGCCGGTAAGGTGAGACGCTGTCCCCCGGGATCGCCCACGACAAACGCGTCAACAGCAAGGAGGCGGCAACATCAACACGCAGCGCCCGGTCGGGTCTTCTCGCGCACACCTCCTTGCCAAGCCCTTCTGCTATGCGTGGGCCCTCATGGACTCGCTCTTCCTCCCCCCACGACCTCATCCAGGACGCGCGCAATGCTGCCGCGGTCCGCCCACGCTGACGACAGCCCTTACATAGGCGGATGCGGTACAAGATCGACAAAGACTTCTCCAACGAGTCGCACCAGGCCATCTTTTAAGACATGGGCTCAGGTAGCACCTACGCCACGTTCATCTACTAGTAGTCCTAAAATGCCAAGGAATTCAGGAAGACTGTATCTTTCAACCAGATGCAGGTAAAAATTCTCCCCCATGTGCTTTAGCCGTTCAATTCTGATTCTCTCAACTATATGCCTGCTTGTAAGAATTCTGAAGAAAAGCGTGTTACTTCTACTTGTTTTGCATAACATACAGTGCTACTGATGTTGGTTTTGTTGTAAAGATTAGTTATGCAAAGCTCTGGATTATCTTTGCAACTCCAGTTGAGTCATTTGTTATGATTTTATTTCCCATAAGTAGTATTGAATATTTTGGCCTTCACTCTTTAAGTGTTACTATTTGCAGGATGATGGTAAAAGGAATGAAAAGTATCGGTTGTAATACCATCGAAGTGTGGTTTCTACACTATGACCTTTCTCGAAAGACTGACTCATGACCATATCTATGAGGTGAGTGGCAAACTCATGATAGTTGCATTTGGCAACAAGTATAGTATGACCATTATGCTCTTACATGGCAATATCATCATCACTTAGGTGCATAAATCACAGTTCTTTTAGGTTGGTTTGACAAGTTGGAGCTACCTGAGAATTTTCTGTTTGGTGTTTACATATGAAGGGATTTAATTGGGTAACCACTGTTCTTTGTTTAGTTATCCCTAGGATAAAGCTGATATATGTTCTGTTAGAGATCAAAGATTGGCATTACTAGAAAATATGAGATGGTCACTCATATAACAAATATATAATCACTCATACACAACACACCGTTTCCCTTGCCATTGATGGGCACTCAAATCAGTGTACCTTGTAGTTGTATTTCTATCTTCGCACCATGAGTGTTGTACAAAGGCCATATAAATACTGATGCACCTCAGCCTGAGAAGGTTTGTATCTGTGCACTGCTGTAATGCTGAAATCTCATGGTGTACATGCTGAAAAATTAATGGTTCACACTTTTGGCTTCTTATTGTTGTATCCTCTTTGGAAATAGCTCAAAATTGGTAACCATGATAGATGCTTAATGTAAGCTACGACTTTAATGGGCAGTGCAACAAAAGTACCATAATTTATATACCTTCTGAATAGAAAAAATATTCACCCCATGGTTTATTGGTTATATCTTTAAGATCATAAGTACTTTTTCTTTTTTAGGAAGAAACTTCATTCATTGCTGCGGAACCATACATAATCGATCGTTTACTTGGTGGGAAGAAATTGACAAGGGTAGCAGATTACACCTAATATAAAGTGGTGGTCCAACTCAACTAGCAGTCTCGCCATATGAAGGTATGTATCTATTTGGTCAAACTCTTCTGAAATGTGCATTAGGCTTTTGAGGCATAAAACTGGATTGCCACTGGATGTGTATATTGTTTATACTTCGTAACTGGATTGTCATTGGATGTGTATACTGTGTTTGTTCCCTCTACCTATTGATCTTTCATGTGGCTTGCAGATTTCAAGTTGTCACTATATTTAAATTGGTGGGTCTAGACGTAAAGTTGCAAGGTGGTGCTATGTTTGAACAAACCGTCTCTGGTAAATACATAATGGTGAGCTAGCTCAGTTGTACGCTTACTTTGACAGTTGACTTCACGTTCGGAGCTCGACCCCCCATGCAAGCACATTATTTTTGCGTCCCATGCCGGACTACATCTGTTGTTTGGGCCGCCACTTCAGCTAGGCCGTCTGCCATAGCTAGGTCAATCGATGGGCTGAGAACCAGGTGAGACACGTGACAACTTTTGGATGTAGCCCAAGCCTGTGAAGGAAAGATCATTTAAAGGAAGGAATTTTAGAGAAACGTTTAGTGCATACATACTATGAGAATCATATTATGGCGTAAGGCCAGAAGCAATCACCCCTTTATTATTAGGTAAAGATAAAGCATGTTTATATTGTGATTTGTTGTGGCTCCATAGAGGCCTTTCTTAAGAATTCAAAGGAAGTTTCTTCTTGAATTAGAGTTGACACTTGATAGCCTTTTCCACAAGTAATTAAATGTTGTTAGTTTTTTTCAAAATCTGAATGTTGCAAGATTATCATGTTCTGTTACATTGCTGGAGACACTGGCCCATTAATTACCTTACATAAGCTTGTAAGCTAAAAGCTAGGCGAGCAAGTCTGCAATCCGAGTTTAAGCTTCCCTTGTTTAAAAACTTGCAAATTGAGAGGCTTAGCTTCTTGAAAACGGTAGCATAGTTTTGAGGAGTTGAGTGAGATACATGCAGAGATTGCAGACTCCTTAACATACAATGATCTCTATGTTTCTTCTTACAAAGAGTGTTGAGTGCCATGTATGTATGTTTATATCATAACGACAACTGAACTTAGTTTATTTGTGTATTGAATAGGTTCCTCTGCCATCCCGAGCTAGAGGCTGGAACTGTATTAACTATACCCGCATCTTGCCCATCCATGGTATTCTATTTCCTTTTTTAATTGAAGGTGTTGTGATTTCATCAAGTGAAAAACATCCTTTGGTTTTATGGTTCTACCTATATTTGACAATGATTTTATGCTCAGATGGCCAATATACATCACCTTTTGTTCTTTTTAACCTATTACATTTTATAACTATTGGAGACTACTCAACTCTATGGAGAGCTAATAATAGTTTTGCTCTTCATGCAGAGTTCGAAAGATTGTCAAGGTGCTTCTTTCCAATTGATAGGAGATAGCATAACCTTTCATGATTATCAAGAAATAAGAATCCAAGAAAGCATGCAACTTCTAGATGTTGGGTCTATACCCTGTTCCATGCTTGTGATTTTCATGGATGACTTTGTTGATCTTGTTAAAGTTGGAGGTAAGTAGCTTATTTGGGCTCATCCATTTATACGATTCAGTGAGGACTTGTATTTTTATGATCTTGAAAAGAAGATCAAAATTCTTAATCTTTACATCAGGAGTTTTACAGATAAGTTTGTATGTTTTGTTTCTCATTGTTCCCAGGTGAAAAGTGATATGTTTCTTTTGCCGAAATTGCAATCTAAGTGCCCATACATTGTTGATTTCTTGTTGTTCAGTGACATTGATATTTAGTCAAGTGTGTTCTTTCTAAATATGATGTCATTTATATTTATAATGTTATTTAAATTGACATCTTTTGGTCACTTATCCATGGATCCTTTCCATATGAGAGCAGATTTGTGTGATTGCCACCAGTCTTATATGTTTGGTGTTTGAAGCATTGTGAACTTTCATTCGGCTTTTGTTCATGTTTTTCAGAGAATTGGTGAGCCTTTTGTCTATTTCATGAGATGTATCAGCTTAATTGAGCCGCTTCGCTGAACATATTGGCTGCCCATGAAGCTCTTAGCCATTTTTTCGACGATACATGTCACTTGACGGTTTCATCATGCTCTAATATCTTCACTTTAGGATCACTCTCTGAGTTCCTAAAGTCACATACTTATTTTACCCATGGTCATTGTCAAAATACATCATGGTTGTCATGATCACTTTGAAAAAAACTTGGGTAGGTTTTCATAATTATTTTTTAGGAACATCATGGTCAAAATCGTGTCATTAATCAATAATGTTCTTAGTTATGTATGCACGCGGCACACTAATTACCAAAAATGCATCGGAAGGGACTTTTACCTACCTGGCTCTTGGTACATTTAATTACGCCTCATCGCTTGCATGTCCATTTGGTACCAAAATCGCAAAAAGGAACTGGAAGCATTGGCCGCTACTTGTCTTTCCTCTCTTGCTATGATGCTCATTTCTTTCCCTCATGTATGATGTATTTTATGAATGTGCTATGCACATTTGTTGTACAAGTCTTGATACTAACATTTCACAACAATTATTAATATCCCTATTCGTGGCATAAATTATTTATTTATAGAGATTTCTTTCTCATAGCTGTTATATTATGCCCTTACCCATAAATTTATATCAGGCATTCTTATTTGGCAGACCAGGATGATGGCGACAGCCATTTGGATGAGCAGAGGCTTGCCCTTTACAATGAAGCACAAAGTTTGTCAAACATTCTTGATAATTAGTCGATATATCAAACTATCTAATGTGTGCCTGCTTGTACTAAATGTTATCCGCTTGCTTCCTTGACATATAGATGGTTTTCATTAACATCTCATCTATGTGTAGTGTGATAACTACCATTGATGAAGTACAAGATTGTGAAAATCTGCAGAATCAAATTTTAGTGGCTGAAATGTTAGAAGCGAACTAGGAAGTTAGTACCACCAAAAGTAAAAGGAGTGTAAGGGGATCTCAGTCGTGAAAATCATATTTCTTAGTTAGAGCTTCCTAGGAGTTATTCGTGCTATTTTTTCATATGATATCATTGACTGTCATTTTTGTAGGAGTAGATATCAGTGTGCAACTTATTGGTGTACCTGCATTTTTGTAGTCTTTCTCTTATCTCCATTTATTTCATTCTACAGTTATGCTCCTGTATTTGCTACTGCGTGAGATGTATTCAATGAATGTGCACTCTACTTCTGTTGTTGTATCTATCTTTTTTAAGAAGCAGCAAGAAAGTTCTTCCACTGATATTACATAGCTATCCACTGGCATGTGTTAACTTAGACTGAAAAAGGGTACTGAAAAGGGAGTCAACCTATCAGGCACCACACCATCCCATTTGTACAATATATTTTGCCTTACCACTTTAGCTTGGTAACTTATGCAGAGTTGCTACAATATGTGGGATCAGAAGACTGGAGGATCCAGAGGGTTCGGTTTTGTTTCTTTTAGGAATCAACTGGTAGTGTTACCATGGAAGCTCAGAACATTAGTTTCGACTCAGAACTAAGTTTGAGTTTATTTGAACTGCTATTTATCATCTATAGCTTGTTGCCAGGTGATGTTTGCTTGCACTACGTCGGTATTTCCCCAAAGGTTGTCGAACCAGTAGGAGAACCATGAAACACCACATAAACAACTCCTGCACACAAACAACAAATACTTGCAACCCGACGTAAGAGAGGGGTTGTCA